AAAAAAAAAAGAACAGATACTGCTACTACTTGGAAAGATTTAACCACTGAAAAGCCCAAATACATCCTAGCACCCTAGCACTCTCAGACGCTGAGGTGAGTGGATTGGCTGAGCTCACAGTTTCAAGACCAGCCTGAGCAAGAGCAAGACCCTGTCTCTAAAAATAGCCAGGTGTCATGGTGGGTGCCTGTAGTTCTAGCTACTCAGGAAGGTGAGGCAAGAGGATCACTTGAGCCCAGGAGTTTGAGGTTGCTGTGAGCTATGACACTACTACACGCTACCCAGTGTGACAGAAGGAAACTGTCTCAAAAAAAAAAGAAAAAAAAAAGAAAAGGCTTGGCGCCTGTGGCTCAAGTGGCTAAAGTAAGGTCTAGCTTTTGGCGGGATAGTCCGATAATTAACAATTTGTCCCACGTCACGCGGCGGTTTTAAAAAGTCCCAATTTTTGGAAAGAATGCACGACAAGCTAGGGAAGGGCGGGAGAATGGGAAGGGAATATATGGTTTTCGGCTGCTGAAAAGGTTAATGAAGAGGTTAATGTAACTTCATTTGGAAATGTAAGAGCCAAACTAACTCCATTTTGTCAGAGACTCCATTTTAAAGCCTGGTTGTTTTTCTAAGTTACATTCCAGGAGTGCTGAGTAATGTAAGCAATGCCTCACGACCTTGCACAACATCTGCCCAGGTATGGTGATGGCAGCCCCCAGACCAATCAGCCTAGAACAAATACTGCCCAGAGCGATAAGGACCCACCTCAAACCAACCGGTATTGAACAAGTACCCCTGCATAGTCAGAGACCTTATCAGTGTACTGCAACCCCTACCCCTCCCTTCTTCTTTTCTGTACCCCTTAAATTCCCCCTCCATTTTAGAGTCGAGGCTTCTCTGCTCTCCTGCTGCATCAGGGTCAGAGAGAGCCCAAGTTCGAGCTTGCAAATAAACTTTGGCTCTTGCTTTTTCCATCGGATACAGTCTCGGAGTGATTTGTGGGGGATCCCGGTGATTTAGGCATAACAGAAATGAAAAGGCTAATCTAAGCTCCCTAATCCCAGGTGAAATCAGTATCAGAAGGAGACTGGCTCCCTCCCTCCCTTCTAGGCAAGGACAATTAGCTCAGAAGGAGCCAAACTGTCTGGAACAAACAAGTAGCCCCCGCCTCTCTAGAGGGTCCCTAACCAGAAACAGTTCAGCCAATAGCAGCCCTGCCCCACAAAACACCCGATGAGGCTCAGCACCTATGGCTCAAGTGACTAAGGCGCCAGCCAGATACACCTAAGTTGGTGAGTTTGAATCCAGCCCAGCCCGCCAAACAACAATCCTGGCTGCAAAAAAAAAGAAATAGCCAGGCGTTGCGGCCAGCACCTGTGGTCCCAGCTACTTGGGAGGCAGAGGCAGGAGACTCGCTTGAACCCAGGAGTTGGAGGTTGCT